ACGAACTCTGCTTGTACTGCGGCGGCTTTTGCAACGAGGTGTTTTTGAAAGCATTGAAGGATGTCTAAGCACTGGAAAAGAGGCGAATATCTACCATGCAAAAACAGAAAGCGGTAAAAGCATTGCTGTCAAAGTTTATAAAACAAGCATACTTATATTTCGAGACCGCGACAGATACGTCACTGGCGAATACAGGTGCTTTTATTTACTTTTCTTAATGTTTACTTTTAAGACCACTTTATCCTTTCGTAGTTGTGTTTCACCGATGGAGTCAGCAGCGTTTCCAGCTTTCTGTGATCGAAGCCGCTTTGGTCATTTCACTACTTTGTTGGCTGTTCTTCGGCTCCGAAGAAAAATGCAGTTGTATCATGTATTCGCTGATTGTGCGTTCCTTGCTTTCCAAGATAGCCACCACTCGAAAAGAAAGGAGACGGGGAGTTTTCTCAGTTTCAGAAAACTGAATGACGTGAGAATCCCCCGTTTTTATGCGTTTTTTGCAGCAATGCAATGCGAAAAACGCATATTGACGAGAGGTTCTCTGTGTGTGTGTCTGTGTGTCTGTGTGTGTGCTGCGCGTCTGTAGCGATTTTTCATCTCGAGACCCACAAAAGCTACAGGGCTGAAATTTTGTGGAGTTAATCTACATGCACGTACGGGCCCCCATCTCCAAAATGGGCGGTCTTTCCCGCGTGGTACCCACGTAAGAGCCCGCCAAAGTTTTTTACGGGTAAGTTGCTAACTCGCGAACCAGAAAAGCTGTAGCGCTGAAATTTTATGGGAATGTTCCCCGTTCGTGTAGGTGCTAATGAGCTCAAACCCAACCCCCGGGTAAGCGTGATACCCGCGTGCGGGCCCGCCAAAATTTTTCCCGCGCAAATTCATAACTGGGGCTCTGAGATGCTAGAAAGCTGGAACTTTAAGGGAATGCTCCCCGTCCAAGTAAGTCTCAACGAGCACAAACCAGACATCGGGCATGCGTCGTACCCGCGTGCGAGCCCGTGAGAGTTTTTTCCAGTAAGTTGCTAACTCAGGAGCCAGGAAAACTAGAAAGCTGAAATTTTAAGGGGGTGCTTCCTGCCAGTTCTGGCAGCCAGTCTTAATTTGTTTAGCTTAAAGCATTTACCGAAAAACCGATGCCGGTAGCGACAAAAATTGCGGGGAACCCTGCAAAAAACGCATCTTCGCACGGGCAGCTCGTGCGTTGGCCAATTATCTTTGAATATGATCCTAAAAATCATATAGAAATAGTGCGATTTTCTAATTTGTATACGGTGACGACTTGGTTTAGGTTAGTATTGGTGATATGGTACATCACATCAGCGTTGCCAGTTTGTGGCTCCAATCACTTATAGCCTCCTCCTTGCGACTCCGATTTCTGTGGTTCTGAGTTAGAAAACTTGCTTCCATAATTCCTTCTTTTTGAAACTTTGGGGCACTTGAAATTATTCCGAATGACAGAACACGCCAACATCAGCGTCAGCCTTCTAATGGCAGGAATATTGACGGTCCTTCCTCCGAGAGTTGTTTAAAAGCAAGTTAGGACGGTTTTTAGCCTCTGATTTGATAAGCTGGCAGTAATTTGTTGCTTACAGATATCGGCATGGTTATTGTAAGGGTAATCCGAGAAAAATGGTCACAGTTTGGGCTGAAAAAGAAATGCGGAATCTATCTCGCATGCATTCTGCTGGACTTCCAGTACCCGAACCCAAAATTGTCAAACAGAATGTTTTGGTTATGGATTTTATTGGCAC